ATTACAAATAAGAACATTCTATATAATCCAAAAACATACATTGAGCTCAAAATGACTGGAAGCTCCTTAGAGATTATCTTAGATAGGATTTACCAGGATTCTATCATAAAATAGGAAGCTACATTGAATGAAATGGATGAAGTTCTAAAAAACAGCCAGACCACATAGTTCTTATGAACTTGAAGAATCATAGGCTATATGTGTTCAAATTGAAATATCTAACTTAACAAGTTCAATATCTGAGCAGCAAATTGTGTTATTTCCCAAATGTATTCACTGAAGTTAGTTTACACCTAGGTGCTAAGACTGAATAAACAATTTGGCATTTTTAAATTTTTTTATGGAAACAAACTCAATAATTCAGATTCAAACTAGTCAATAAATACAATTCATGTAAGAAAATTCATTTTCAGTTTCATGGAGGAAAAAATATTTCTGATTACAAACAGGTAAAAAACATGCACCTAACCACCTAACTTTTATATTGTTGCTGAAAATCAAAAGAAGATAATCTTGTATGTCTTTCAAAAGTAGATATATTCAAATACATAAGAAGTTGGCAACCTTAAATGTGGATTGATGAACCATAATTACGTTATAAATAATTTCATAAAAATTTATGCTTGCAAAGCCAATGTATTATCATAAGTAGCAGCGGAAATAAAATTTCATATAGTAAGCAGCTTATTTCAGTTGCAACTAGACATCGTAGGGAGAAAAGGAAGCCTGCCTACCAGATCCTTTGCTTGTGGAATGGACTGCTTATTTTCCAAGTGTGAAAGAATTAAAAGGATTATCTGCTTATTCCAATTGGTCTTAAACCCAAAATACATTTAAAAATCAAGAAAAGATACTTCATAAACTTGTAAAATGTTCATGTTAGTTAATTTCACACACATCGCAACAATAAAATCCTCTGTGAATACTCTTCCAAACTGCTTTTTGTGATGGTTGTTTGTTTGTTTTCGTACCTGGAATCAAACTCAGAGTCTTGGTCTTGCGCTTGACAGGCAGGCACTGACCACTGAGTTACTGTCCTAGCACTGATTTTTAAGTGACAGTTTTTCTTTGGAGTTCTAAGAGTCAAACTAAAATGAGACATTCTTTTACGAGACCTAATTGTCAAGCGATTTGGAAATACAAGAAAAGCTATACTCAATAAGAACTATCAATTTCCAGTGACATATAATATAATGGGCATATATTTTATTCATGGATGTAGATATTTATAGCTTTGATTTCATCATCATAATTAGATACATAGCTTGATATAGAAATATATTATGTACTCATAAATGTACAGGAAGTTTATATTCAACTGGATTGGGTATATATGGTATTGCAAAGTGTAGACATAGATAGAAAATTTATGTTATTTTTAAAACATTGAATACTATAAAGGAAACAGAAAGGAGTAAAGAAATAAACAGTAGTACGTTATAATACTTGCTCAAATTCAATGTGTAAAGCAATACACTGCAGTTGGGGTTCTTAATAAATATTTACTAAGTAATTAAGTTATTTAGGAAATAATATCCTGCTTATACATTTTAAAATAAAAGTTAACAACATACTAAATGTAAGAAACTGAGAATTTCTTTACATAGTCATTTGCCTTTTATTATAAAATCAAGGAATTTCTCATAGCTAATTTTAATCTATTAATGTGTCTGAAAGTTACAAAATCCAATCTAACACATTTTTCTTTCAACAAAAAAGAAGAGAAATTGATTGACGATCATAACTGATCACAACACATACACGAAGTCACTTCCAATATATCAACAATTACTTAAGAAATTTAAAATATTCAGGAATATAGTTATTTTATTCTATGATATACTCATTAAAATACATTATTGGAATCAATTTTATTTATTTATTTATTTTGCCATAGAGTCTCACTGTTTGGTTCAGACTGGTTTTGAGTTCACTGTGTATCCCAGGCTGGTATTGACCTTGTAGTGATCCTCCTGCCTCCTGAGTGCTGGGATTATTGGCCTGTACTACCACACAGTACAAATTTGCAATACAAATTAAAAAGAAAATCGATTTTTTTTATTAATTTCAATGTTAAATTGTTAATTATGCTACTAGGCACAATTCAAGATCCTGGAGATAAAAACAACAACAACAACAACAACAAAAAGCAAAACTAGCTCCTTGTCTTGAAGAAAAGAGCAATACAGTATAATAGAGATAAAAGTCTTCCCATATAGAAAGCAAAAGAAAGGAACTGAACAACATGCAAAGAAATAGTGGAGATATACTTGGTTCACAAAGAAAAGATATCTAGGTTTAACGCTAGAAATGGTTGGAAACAGGAAAAAATACCTTCCTACCTTTCTCAATTGAAGAAGAATGCTTAGAGATGATGCTAGTATCTGAAATCATCTAAGCAATAACCGAGATATACAGGACACTTTTTAAAAATTGAAACAAGAAATGAAAACCATCTCTATCTTGTAGGAATAAGAGCTCAAACCTATTGTATCTAATGATGAAAGAAACTTTCTGGGTATTTTAATCCATACTTTCAAATGGCTAAATTAAAGTTACTGGTGGAACTTGCAAGTTTAAAAAATGCACAAGGTTTGTTTTAAAAGTCATAAAAAGTATGACTTAGGAACTGGAAAAACTTTGAGTGTTGTTGGAGACAAGATGCAAGCTGGAGAGAAGCCAAAAATGAAGCCACACTGCGGGCAGAGGCGGAGCGAAGGATGTAATAGTCAGGTTCAGTAGTGCGATGCCAATGCTCATTTCTTTCTATTTTAAAAGATTCGTTTGTTTTTCCTAATTTTTTAGGTCGTAGAGCATGTCAAGAGGTCTGGGTGATAATCTGAATAATTCAACCCAATTGGTCAGGGATGTTAAAAACAAAGTAGGTTTGTTTTCAGACCCAAATCATCACACTTTTTTTTTTTCTGTTTTTATTGGTACCAGGGATCAAACTCATGACTGCCTGCTTGCAAGGCAGGCGCTTATGCCGCTGAGCTAAATCTCCAGCCCCCATCACACTTTTTAATAAATGCTTTTTAAATTTTTGTGTTAGAGACACAGCCAAAGTAAGTCAAATAAACAAAGTCTCTAGAGATAGGCATAACATAAAGCCACATATTATCAGGGTTTCGTTCAGCTGCTTTATTTCTAAATTGTTATACCCTACAGAAAGTCGTTACATGAGGATCCTGTGAGCTTCCAAATAGAACCCAAGCTCCTTCCATCATGGTTGGCACTATTTTAAGAATTAAACAGCCAATGCATCAAATTAAATATCCAATTTATCAACAAGTTTTAACAACAATGGCAATTTTTCAGTTGATATTTCTCCTCTCTATGTAATTCTTTTGATTTAGTTTCAAAGCTTGTGTTGAAATCACAGAAAGTATCACAATACAAAAATCACATACACATAATCATCAGTCACATAGTGCAAGAAGCATTTGATTCACCCCAGTCATCAGAACTGTGGTGGGAAAATAGAGTGTGTGACTTAAGTTTTCAAATTTATAATCGATTATTTTAGTCATAGACAGAATGTTCTTATCAAAATTCTCAGTTATAAAAACACTAGTTGTATAGGTGAAGTACTACAATCTTGTACAAGTATCAAAATCTAGTATCCAAGTTTCTAATTCCAGAAAGCGTCAGTAATGATAGCATAATTTATAAAAGTAAAATACACATAGTTTACTTTATGTTATTTATTTATTCTGTCTTTTTGAGACAGGGTCTCCCTGTGCAGGTCAGGCTGGCCTTGAGCTCACTCTAGCCCAGGCTGATCTTGCACTTGCAATGATCCTCCTGCCTCAGCCTCTGAGTGTGGGGGGTTAAAGGCGTGAGCCACCATGCCCAGCTAAAATAGTTTTAAGGTATGAGTATTTTAAAGAATATTAGAAGAGTATATTTCCTTTAATTATTCCATCATCTTTTCTTAAAAATACTAATTTCTGTTCTCTGTATTTGTCAATAGTAGTTCATAAGAGTTTTAAGTTTTACTTCCTGAAAGAACTAAAATTTGTTGAGTTTTCTTAAAAATCAAACTGATGTTCACATAGAAAAGACTAACATTTGTAAAAACTCATTAAATATTTATTTCATGTTGAACTATAAACCTATATTCAAAATATCTTCATATTTATAGAAGAAAATTATAAAGCTACATAAGAATCAAAATGATGTTCATGTAGAAAAGACTAACGTTTCTAAAAACTCATTAAATATTTATTTCATGTTGAACTACAAACCTATATACAAAATGTTTTTTACTATCAGAAAATAATTTTTAAATATTATTAATATTTATAGAAATAAAATTATAAGGCTACATAGGATAAATTTATGGTACAACTTTTCATGAATAGAATAAGAGCATTTATAAATGTGCCCAAATATATTAAAATACAAAGTAAATTTATAATATCAATACTTCGAGACTATACACATCTTATAAAGACTTAGTTATGAAAACAAAAGACTAATATAAAAAATTAAGTGGTCAAAAGACATTGATATTTTCTTACATTTATTACTGTAGACAATTACACCTTCCACAAAATAAGCTAAGATTTTTTCAAATTTTCATTCACCTGCTATACATTAATTGGAATAAAATTCCACTTTCTCTCTAGTTCAAATGCTAACTAGCAAGCAGTGTGGAACTCATTTTAGTTCTAGCCATGGCACAGTTTCTGAGGTCTGCCCTCCTCCTTGCCCTGCATGTGCCTTAAGCTGCTGTGATGGACTTCAAGGAACTGTGTCTCCTTCCCAGATGAGGTAGAAGCAGCTCATCTGTCCCGAAGCAGGTGACCATAGAACCGATCACATAACTTAAAATTCATAAAAGTGATCAGGAGTCTTTTGTGGAAATGCAAATTTCACAAAGTATAACTTTTTGTTATAGACTAATATTCTAAGACATTACCCTGGATGGTAAACATCAAACATCTTTTCATTCTGATAAAAATAAGGGTTTTAAATTGCAAAAAAAGGGCAATTACCTTTTCCAACTGAGCGTTTTTTTTGGATTTGTACAAAAACTCGCCCACCGCCACGAACACGGAGAGCACCAAGCCGGCGGCCAGGACGATGAAGATGCCCCCGATGTTCTGCACGCCCAGGGCGCTGGCCTCCTTGCTCTCCTCCTCCGGGCAGCCGTTGCCACGCCACCACTTCTCCTTCATCATGTGCAGCTTGCCCTCCTCCTGCAGCTGCAGGATGGCGATGGTGATCTTGTCCCGGTACGGAGAACCTGCCGAGGAGAGGAGAGGGTGAGTCACTCAGAGGAGCACAGACTTCCCTAAGGACAGGTCAGCAGGACAGACTGGGTCTCACTAACCAGGCGGCCTCAGTGTTCCTTCTGAGCAGAGAAAACCACCTGCACAAGTCCGAACTTACTACGAAAAACAGAGCACAAGACTCTCTTAGCAACCATCCTTTTATTTTCAATATGGAAACTATTTCCACTAATATGCAGATTTAGCTCAGCGCATTAGAAATCAGACAAAAGGTAGGAAATCAAAACTAGAAAACAAATGATGTAAAAAAATGTTTATTTGACATCTAGGCATAGTTCTACACTGAAACTTGAGCACTGATAAAAACAATAGCTTTAGTTTTAGGAAAATTGTGGGGGGAAATGGTGTGTTCCGCGATTAAATACAATAATTCAGAGCAGTCCTGATTGACAATCTATATTCCGTAATTTCAAATATCTGCAGCTAATGACTAATCATCTTTGTTTGCTATTTGTTGTGAATTTAAAGAGTCAAAAAATGTACAGGGATGGATTTAAAAAAAAAAAAAAAAAGTCATTATAGCAATGTAAGTCCCAGTTCAGTGACCCTATGACCCGAAAGTGTTTTTGTTTCTCATTTTATGCTTTACAATGGAGGTACAAATAGAGTGCAGTTCTATATCTGTGCCTATGAGGGTGCACAGTCATCTCCTTAAACAACTACACAATCAATATTATATTTGCTACGCGGATACTCAGACATACAGAAAAGTACTGATTACATGCGTCTTTGCCATCTGTCCCAAGGGATTGGTCTCTCTGTTTGCTCTCACCCAGAAATCGCCTTCTTCTGAAGTGCAGTTTTCTTTCCTAGAACATGGACTTGGCGTTCCATTTTTCTGCACAAATTCACAGTATGCTGTCTTATTTAAAGAACAATAGTAAACATTTCCGTTTTTCTTCATGGCTGCCTGTAATTATGTGCATAAATACATCTATAACTCTAAATCTTTAACAGGAGTGGGCATCACGCTCAAAGAGGGTAATAAGCAGGGGCACCCTGTTGATAAAGAGACAAAGGGGAATCTAACAAACCCAACCGATGATGTGCACTTCCTTTATCTGCACAGCTTTGCTAAAAGGGAATATTGAATTCTTTGTGAAATTTTCATTAGATAAGCTTTTCTTAAATATTAGGGGGATTTCTTCTTCTCCCTTTCTTTCCTGTGTTGTTTCAATGTTTACTCAAATGTCAATGAGTGTGTGAATTCCACACCCTGCCCGCCCACTTCAGAGCTTAGGGTATTAGTGCAGACATTCTCATTGTTCAGCCACTACATCCTCAGTCTAAGGTGTCTACTATTTCTATCTACCTATCCAGATGTAACACATTGTCCTAGCCGCCAAGCTTTTTAGAATGAACGGTATCAGTCTGTCTGTGCATCATCCATACCTCCATTCATTTCGAATTCTCCATCATTCCCCCTTAACAGGCTCTATGCAAATGCTCTCCTATTGTGGGGCAGACAATACCTGATTAGAGACATCCTTAACACAATGGAAGAGTGACAGTTTTGGAATGTGGGTCTCTATGACACATCTTTTCTCTAAGCATAAATTAAGGTTTTGCTTTTCAATTTCCTTAGTTCACTAAGCCTAGCCTAGTACTAGCTGTGACATCACTTTTTCTCTGGATAACCACTTTTATTTATGTTTTCTCTGCAAAATAAATATGGATTTAGGGCGAATAACTTCCCTTTAAAGGAGAAGAACAGCATAGTGGTTGTGTTTTTCAATGAGAAATGCAGTATCTGAATCAAATCTTGTGTTGAGAGCACTTGTAAACATGGCTGCAACTGGCAAACATGAAGACGTAGTTTACATTCTGGAAGTAAAGTTACACACACACTTTGGGAGGCAAGTGGCATCTTAAACCCAAAATCTTCTTAATCCCCTAAGTACTTTGTGCCAGCTCAATTCTCATCTTAAGGATGACCGAAATATTTGTCAGCTATCCACACTTACTAAAACACACTGGGACATTTGTTCTAATATTCTAAACACACTGTTCTTCACTATATTTTGAAGAAAAACACCACAAACACAAAAGCTATCTAGCAATGTTTGTGAATACACCGTTTTCCATCGCGAGCAAACTTCAGCACAGTAGCTTTTTTAGAGTCATTGTAATTGATATTTTGTTTTAGTCAAACCCTACAAGGTTGACATGATTCATTTTGAGTTACAGTTTTATTAAAATTTGGTGAGATTTTCAACACACCATAACAATATAGATTCTTTCTTTTTATGAGATCGCAAGAAATTAATTAAAACTCTCTACTTTTTAAAGTTGGACAAGTAAGTCATTTTTTTCAAAATACGATTCAGATACACAAATACTTCCAAAAGCTGAATTTTGCCCTTCTACCTTATCATACCATCTTTGATCTTTTTCTTTTTAAAATTTTCTTCCTGTAATGGAATTTTCATTGCTTGTTTAAACATATTCTCCATATTGGCAGTAAGAAATTGATATACTTTAGAAGTCATCTTCTTACAGATTAACAAAATATTCCATTTACAAGATGAAAAGAGTTCTAGCTTGCAAAAGAATGAAAGGGAAAGACAGACAACAGGCAGAGGGAGAAGGGCAAACAAGAAAGGAGAAGATGGGGAGAGGGAGGGAGGAGGGAGGAGAGAAACAGAAGAGGGAAATCCGTTCAGCACGGCGAAGCCTGTGGTGTGTCACAGGCACCGACCTGAAGCCCCTGCATGTGAGCCGACATGTGGAAACCACAAATGCACTAATTTGCTCAACAATAAAATTACTGTGTGCAAGTGTAACTACATGTTTCATCAAATAGCTTTATGCAAAATTATGATTTCATGAGCATTTCTTCCAAGACATACAATAAAGCCCTGTAGGAGAATATGCTGCGGCTATTACAAAGAATAAACACAGGCCTCAGCCAGTCTCTCAGAGCTAGGTACATCGAGCCGAAGCCGTTTCTTCTCTCCTGCCCTCTCTCTCCCATCCCTCCTCCTCCCTGTCTTCTCCCTCACCTGGTCCCGGCTCCTCCTGACCCTCCTCTCCCTTCCCTCTGCCGCCTGCTTCCTCACGCCTTCCTTTCTCCCTTCTTCCTGCCCTCCTTCTCTCCCCTGGCACATTCTAAGCTCGGTACTCACAGGCACAGCACACATGCACCCGTCTGTGCACGGTTAATCTCAGTTCTAAGCCCGAGTACACAGCTTAGTGACGTCTCATTCTCGTGCCTTTTTCTTTGCCCAAATTCCCAGTTTTATATAGTAACATCTTTCCTCGTGCCATTTCCGTTCATCAGATAGTATACAAATGATAAAGTAAATGCACTTGTATTACTGTTAGTTCTTACTGACAGGCTTACTGACTGGCGGGTAGCTTTTCTTTATAGTGGCACAGCAGTTGCCTCACACACAATTTGCTTTAATGAAATACCCTAAAGTCATATCATCAACACCCTGGCAATCGCCCACGTACCTGCCGAATTTCCAACTTGCAAATCAGTATTTGTTATGGTTTAATCAACTAAAAAAGGTCAGAAATAAAATCATTCATATTCCCCATAAATATCTCCTTCTAAAACACTGTACAACAATTTCCAAAGCTGAACTTTGTCCTCCACATTTCTTTTGGGAAATGCACAACTGTGTTTCATTTTTAAAGAACTTCTTGTTCAAAGAATCTTGAGCAGTGTCCCAAAACAAATTTACCTCTTAAAAATTCACAGTATACACCAGCAAAAAAAAAAAAAAAAAAAAAAAAGTTACCATTTATTCTTTCAAAGAAAAAAAAAATAAAACATTTATAATGTTTCAGGTTATTTTCACGGAAAGAATATTCAATGATAAACATAAAACTAATGTTATTTTGAAGGTCAGTTTTTATCACTTCATAACACTTTAATCATAGAATGGTAAGTACCACAGATGTGAGCCACAGTGCATTCTAGTAACTTTTTCACTTGTAACTTACAATGTCATGTTTTGATTAAAAGCTTGCTGTGGCTCTCTAGAGCTATAGGATAAAACACCATTTCCTAAACATATCAAATAATCCTTCGTACAACCAATCTCAGACTTCTTTCCTGAGCACATCCTTTTCTTACACCTCATGTTCCAACAACACAAACCTGTGTTTGCCTTCCGCAAGCAGACTTCTTAGTTCTGATATCTAGGGGAAGTTGTTTTCTTTCAGGACTTGAAATAGCTCACCCCAGGCTCTTCTGTACTTGATGTCTGTCGGGATTCTGATGGGTTTTCTTTTTTGCTGATCTGTTTCTTTTCTCTAACAGCTTTTAATATTCTGTCCTTGTGCTGAATTTTTGGAATCTTATTTCATGTCTGAGTGTAGATTTAATTATGGCTACTTGGATTTCTGTATGCCTCGCTTATCTGCATGTCTGGTCCTGCGCCCATGCGTGGAAGTCCTCAGCTATTACTTTTGTAAATAGTCTCTTTATGTCATTTGTATTCACCCCTGCTTTTTTGCTGACACCAGTGATTCTTAACATTTTTCTGTACATCATCTTGCAGCCACTGAATTGTTATTTCCTGGTTCCTTGTTATTTTTACGAGATCTTTCCTTTTATGGTCACACTAGCTACCATCCTACCTTCAAGACCTGAAAGTCTATCTTCAGTTTCTTTCAAGCAGTTTTGCCAGATTTAAGTGAGTTTTTAATTTCCTGGATATCTCTTTGAGTCTGTTTCATGCATTCCAATTCTTCTCTGTACGCTTCATTCAAGGCTTCCCTCATTCTCCTATGCTATTTTTTTCTATGTCTTCTTTAGATACACTCAGTAATCCATTCATTAGGTTTGTCATTTCTCCTTTTACCTGATATATTGTCTGATCTGATTTCTTTTACAGTCTCAGGAAGTAGTTTCTTCAGTTGCCATCGTCTCAGAAATTTTAGGAATGTGACTTCTGCTTTCTTCCATGTTCATGTCTCTTGGACTTGTTTGGGCTGGAGGTCA